GCCCCTAGTTTGAGCGGGGCCCCATCCAAACCTCCCTGGGGAGGCTAACCCCCGCGGGATGCTCACGGCATCCCAGTGGTGACAGTAGCATGTGGTTAACACACCAGGACAGACGTAACCCATGTGGCCTCAGCATGCCTCAGTTTCCCCTTCGCACGCCTTGCTTGCCCCACCCAGGCCACTCCGCTTGCAATAGCTGGGCAAACTTCGGTGCCAGCCACCATCCCCATCCCAGCCCTTCCCTGGCACGTGGTAGTCCCTCCTGTGGATGTCTGGCAGGACCCCACACCACCCCTCTGACCCCAATCCCACCGTCTTTTCCCAGCTTACAAAGAGAAGATGAAGGAGCTGCCTCTAGTCTCCCTCTTTTGCTCCTGTTTCCTCTCGGACCCCCTGAACAAGCCGGCGTACACGTACGAAGGTAGGAGCCTGGTTGAGGGGCGCATGAATGGGGTTGGGGGCGGGTCTACAGACACCCCCCTTTGGTGTGAACGGGGTTGCCCTCAAACCCAGAGAGGTGCCCACATGGTTTGCTGGCACTGTCTAGAAGCAGGGGGCTGGGTTGGGGTCGGGGTGGGGGACTTGGGCAGCCCCCCCTCCACCACGGCTCCATTGCACGAAGCGCCGGGGCGTGGGCTCGGTATTTTTAGGCAGAACAGCGCCGGGTGATTCAGAGTGATTCATGTCAGCGAGTCCAGAGACGACAGCAGCGATGGAGGGGGATGCCCAGCCTTGGGGGGGCTCCTCCTGGCTAGCTGCAGGGGGGATGTGCAGCTGGATTGGGGCTTCATGGTCCCATTCTCAGTCCCCAAAGCAAGGCTGAACTCTGCCCTGCTTTCTCGCCTCTCCCTTGAGGGGATGCCCAGCCCCTCAGCTCCCCCTAATATTCCCAGCTCAGCCCCCTGGATGGGTGTCTTGAAGTCCCTACCCCAACCCACGCCATTGGGGCTGAACCACAAGGGTGGGTTTGGGATGCGGGGATTTGGGTGGCACCCATGGAGGTCAGGCAAGGTGGTGGCCCTGGGATGGTTTGCCCAAAAGGGTGGGATGCAGGGATTTGGGTGGCACGCATGGAGATCAGGCAAGGTGGTGGCCCTGGGATGGTTAGCCCAAAGGGGTGGGATGCACCCGTGCCGGTGGTCAGCCCGTGCCTGTCTCCCAGCAGACACAGTAGACCTCACCTGGTGTGTCATCTCCGATATGGAGGTCATCGAGCTCAACAAGCGCACCTCGGGGCAGTCCTTCGAGGTCATCCTGAAGCCCCCATCGTTCGATGGCATCCCTGAGTTCAACGCCTCCCTGCCTCGGCGGCGTGACCCGTCCCTGGAGGAGATCCAGAAGAAGCTGGAGGCGGCGGAGGAGAGGAGGAAGGTAGGTCTGGTGGCTCGTGCGTGACAGTGCGACACGGGGGACGTACCGCGGGGACACGCAACCTTGCACTCGGCCAGGTACCTCCACCCATCCCCTTTGGGGGTGTCGCAGAGTTTGGAGAGGGCAGTTTTGGCCAGGAGGGGAAGGGACCTCGTGGTCCACATGGCCATCGTGTCCGCTTTGCCTGTGCAGTACCAAGAGGCTGAGCTGCTGAAGCATCTGGCGGAGAAGCGGGAGCACGAGCGGGAGGTCATCCAGAAGGCCATCGAGGAGAACAACAACTTCATCAAAATGGCCAAAGAGAAGCTGGCTCAGAAGATGGAGTCCAACAAGGAGAACCGTGAGGCCCATTTAGCAGCCATGCTGGAGCGCTTGCAGGAGAAGGTGAGAGCCTGGGGAGGGAGGAAGGGGGGGGAACGTGGTGGGACACCGGTCCAGGAGGGTGTCGCAGGACACTTGGGCGCCCTGCATGGCTCTTGGGATGGCATTACCCCCTGGGGACACCACAAAAGTGGGGGGCCCCCCCTCTTCCCTTCCCACCATGCAGCGATAACCCAATGTAATGTCCCGCCCGGGGTGGGGGATCCTACCTGGGGCCCCACAGGGCCTGACGTGTCCGTAGGCTCACGAGTGGCTGGCGGGTGGAGAGCTGGGACCCGTATCTCGTCCCCAGACGTGCAAGGCCTTCGCTTTCCCCGTGCCCCGCCATGACGGCCTTGACCCACCCCTTGTAATTTTTCCACCTCCCTGGGTGGCAGGTCGTCCCCTGGTCACTTCCCGAGAGGCCATGGAGCTGTCAGCTCCCCGGAGGAGCTGGAGTAGGCTCACGAGTGGCTGGCGGGTGGAGAGCTGGGACCCGTATCTCGTCCCCAGACGTGCAAGGCCTTCGCTTTCCCCGTGCCCCGCCATGACGGCCTTGACCCACCCCTTGTAATTTTTCCACCTCCCTGGGTGGCAGGTCGTCCCCTGGTCACTTCCCGAGAGGCCATGGAGCTGTCAGCTCCCCGGAGGAGCTGGAGGGGTCTGTGCTGCCATGCTAGAGGAGATGCTTCCACCCTGCCAGCCTGTGCAGACCTCTTCTCTCTCCCCGAAGCAGGTCTGTTCCCAACCTCAGCACGGAAGGTCCCACCCTCACCACCTCCAGCTCCCTCCAAAACATCCCTTCTGCAAGGAGCTCGCCCAGTGCCCTTCTCCAAACGCCTCAGCTAGCCTTGGGTCAGAGGCAGAGAGCACGAGATAATGAAGGACAATCCGAGCTAAGCCCATCTCCTTGGGGCTCCCGGTCCATCCCGTCTGGTTGACGTCTACCTCCTAGCTAGAGGGCGAGGACAATCTGTCCCTGAGTGCCTCCACAGTCCTTAAAACACCCCAGGGGAGGAGAGGACGCTGTTGACCCATCGGTGGTGTCCCTCGGGGGATGAACCTCGCGAACACCCTC